AAGTGTTCACCATAGAACCAATCAGCCTTAAAAAAAGATTCATTTTAGAAAGGAAGGAAGGAAATGAGGGAAGAGAAGGATGAATGGATGGAAGAAGAGGAGAGAAGAGAAGGATGGATGGATATAAGAGGAGAGATGGATGGATGGATGGATGGATGGATGGATGGAGGAGAGATGGATGGATGGATGGATGGATGGATGGATGGATGGAAGGAGATAAGAGGAGAGATGAATGGATGGATGGATGGATGGGTGCGTGGGCGAGTGGATGGAAGGAAGGAAGGAAAACAGGTTGAAATTCAGTAAAAGTGTTTACCTTAGAACCAATCGGCCTTAAAAGAAGGTTCATTGAAGGAAGGAAGGAAGGAAGGAAGGAAGGAAGGAAGGAAGGAAGGAAGGAAGGAAGGAAGGAAGGAAGGAAGGAAATGAGGAAAGAGAAGGATGGGTGGGTGGGTGGGTGGAAGGAAGAAAGAAGGAAATAAATGAGCAAAGAGGATGGAATGATGGATGGATAGATGGAAGGAAGAAGGAGACGAGAGAAGAGAAGGATGGATGGATGGATGGGTGTGTGGGAGGAAGGAAGGACGGAAGGAAGGAAGAAAAACAGATTGAAATTCAGTAAAAGTGTTCACCTTAGAACCAATTGGCCTTAAAAGAAGGTTTATTTTAGGAAAGAAGGGAAGAAGGAGCCGCGTGGCCTTCAATGCCCAGAATTCCCCAGCCAGCCATTGCAACGTGACGCATTCAGACGCCATTTGTAACTGCACATGAGAATAGGGGAAAGGCTCCAACCCCGAGCAAGCCAACCCAGGCCTGCCCATCTCAGTTTGTGTCAGGCGGGAGGTGTACCACCAGTGTGCAGGATGACAATTTCGCCGTCAGCCTCTGCAAGCAAACGCAACCCAGCATCTCCAGACGCGGACAGCGAAGAAGGAGGCAGCTGATCGTGACTCATCAGAACTCTGGATCCGTCACACGACTGAGGCTGGGAGCATTTGGCGCATGACGCCGGGACCAGGAGGAAGGGGAAAAAAGAGAGAGAAAAACCTTCCTCCGTGGAGGCCTCGAGGCCTTGGGAAACGCCACCTCTCAAGGCTGCTGGATGGCAGGCTCACATCTCCTCCGTCTCCCGGGGTAACAACCTTGTAACCACCGGATGATCTTAATTGCTTCTGAAAAGGCAGCTCGGGCTCATGGCAGCCAGTGCAGCCGCGCGAGGGATCCATCCCGAGAACCTGCTGTTCTAAGATCACTTCTTGACCTCATTTTTGGCTCTTCTTTGCTTGAATGGCCTTCACTAGGTGAGGCCAAGCAGGCATTGTTGGAAAGCAACCAGAAAGGTATTTGCAGGCACACACACACACACACACACACACACACCACAGCCCCCTCCAGGAAAGAAAGTGGCGTTCCTTCTCTTCTTGCAAAAAGAGAACTAACAAACCCCCAAACCACGGTGAATTTCCCACAATTCTTACAGGGATGGTTAAAAGGGATGCACGTCCTTCATTCTATCTACATTCCTGTTTGTTTTTATCCTGGGAGGGGGAAGGGGAGGGGGAAGACATCCAAAGGGCCACTCGCTCAAAATAGGGGAGGGGGAAAGGGAGGAAAAATCTGGAAATTTGAAGACTGGTGTCAGTACCATGGTAACACGACAATGCCCTTTGCCGAATATTTGCAGGCAAAAAAAAAAAAATTCAGAACAGCAAAGCATGTTGCTTTTTCTTCGATTTTCGTTCCAAGATCTGTGGAACTCCTTGCCACAAGGATGTTCCTCTTTAAACCCTTCTTTCAGACACCTGACCGGCATTAAAAACAGGCTGGATTTTAGCTATCATAAGATGCTTCCAATTTCTCTCTCTTTTTGTTATACATTTATATTTCTTGAACGGCGCATTTCATTGTAAGCTATCCTTTTTCTATCCCCTCACCGCTTTCAGCACCACTTTGGAGTGGAAAGCTGGAGGGGTACCAATGTGAGAAGCCAAAGGCATCCTTGGAGAGGTTTTGCAAAAGTGAGGATTTGGGTGAACCTGTCCTGAGAGTCAAAATGTTAGGATTTACAAACCAGCTTTAACGATTTAGTGTAACTAAACTTGGGGTTTGGGTTGATTCGATCACAATTAACCATAAACTAACTTAGCCATCCCCAACATTGGTCTCCATCTCTCTCTCTCTCTCTCTCTCTCTCTCTCTCTCTCTCTCTCTCT